TGAAACCACAGGTGATAATGAGGTAGTCAAAGATGATGAAAACAATGAAGCCATAAGTGATAAAGAGGTAACAGAAGATGAAGAACAGAATGAAGCCACAAGTGATAATGAGGTAATAGAACATGATGATCAAATTGATACCACATGTGATAATGAAGAAGATGATGAATATAGTGAAACCACAGGTGATAATGAGGTAGTCAAAGATGATGAAAACAATGAAGCCATAAGTGATAAAGAGGTAACAGAAGATGAAGAACAGAATGAAGCCACAAGTGATAATGAGGTCATAGAACATGATGATCAGATTGATACCACATGTGATAATGAAGAAGATGATGAATATAGTGAAACCACAGGTGATAATGAGGTAGTCAAAGATGATGAAAACAATGAAGCCATAAGTGATAAAGAGGTAACAGAAGATGAAGAACAGAATGAAGCCACAAGTGATAATGAGGTCATAGAACATGATGATCAGATTGATACCACATGTGATAATGAAGAAGATGATGAACAGAATGAAAACAGAAGTGATAATGAAGTAAGTGAAGATGATGAACAGAGTGAAAACACAAGTAATAATGAGGTAACAGATGATGATGAACAGCATTGTAATGATGGGGTAATTCATGGCAATGAACACAATCAATCAACAAGTGATAGTGAGGTAACATATGATGATAAACACAATGAAACCACAAGTAATAATGTGGTAATATGTGACAATAAACAAAATGGATCAACAAGTGATAGTGAGGTAACAGATGATGAACATAACGGAACCACACGTAATAAAGTGGTAAGACGTGGCTGTGGACAGAATGGATCAACAAGTGATAGTGAGGTAACAGATGATGAACATAATGGAACCACACGTAATAAAGTGGTAAGACGTGGCTGTGGACAGAATGGATCAACAAGTGATAGTGAGGTAACAGATAATGAACATAATAGAACCACATGTAACAGAGTGGTAAGAAGTGGCTGTGGACAGAATGGATCATCAAATGATAGTGAGGTAACAGATGATGAACATCATAGAACCACACGTAATAAAGTGGTAAGACGTGGCTGTGGACAGAATGGATCAACAAGTGATAGTGAGGTAACAGATGATGAACATCATAGAACCACACGTAACAGAGTGGTAAGAAGTGGCTGTGGACAGAATGGATCATCAAATGATAGTGAGGTAACAGATGATGAACATAATAGAACCACATGTAACAGAGTGGTAAGACATGGCTGTGGACAGAATGGATCAACAAGTGATAGTGAGGTAACAGATGATGAACATAATAGAACCACATGTAACAGAGTGGTTAGAAGTGGCTGTGGACAGAATGGATCAACAAGTGATAGTGAGGTAACAGATGATGAACATAATAGGAACCACACGTAATAAAGTGGTAAGACGTGGCTGTGGACAGAATGGATCAACAAGTGATAGTGAGGTAACAGATGATGAACTTGACAGAACCAGACATTATAATGTGGTAAGATGTGGTTATGCACAGAACATATCAACAAGTGACAGTGATGTAACAGATGATGAATAGAATGAAACCACACATGATAATGAGATAATAAAAGATGTTTTACTGTTAAGGAACATACTGTTTTATCCAGTATTAAGCTAATTTTTCAACATAATGCAACAAAAAATAGTAGTGTCAAAGTCTAGGAGGAAAATGATGTGAGATAAGAACCAGAAGCCAGTGGAGCCATATTTTCAGTACTTCTTACTGATGAGAATAAAGACCTGTTTAAGGGAACATTTCATGTACAGATCAATCTCATCGGGTCCAGGCAAACTGGTGAAATAAGACCTTCTGGTCCATTAATTATTGAAGGCTATGATGAATAACTAACTTTCGAATTTTATTACTTGTAATAAATAAGTTACACATATGAAGAGGTATTTTAACATCATTGAAGTTCCAGAAAATAATATAACTTGTCAGAACACTTATAGAACCTGCTGACCTGAACACGGCTTAGATTAAACAGTCAGTAATAAACCACCTTTAATATCGACTAGAAAAAGTCTGGACAACATTTCAACAAACGAGTTTGATTTCATCTTGTTTTAGATGTTTCTGTCTACAAGTAAGAAATTTAAATAAGATGATATTTGGTAGGTCATTGTGCCAGGGGTTATTATCATTAATTATGCTTTGTGTTTTAACCATCTGTACATAAAACTTCTGTTTTATGACTAGATTGAAATATAAGAAGAATACAGATATTTTACTTGAGGTCACCTGTATCTTGAGAATATATGTATATCTGTAAGTATTTATAATGTTTTTAAATCATTCATTTTTATTTCTAGTTACAATGATATGCTTTGAAAAAAGGTACCAGATTTCTATATTAGGTGTGTCACATGAAGTATTTCAAGAATTTTAATAAAACTATTACAGTGATAAGTCACTAGATTTTTTGTAAATATATTAAACTTTTGGTTCATCCAAAAAAAAACAGTAAAGGTAATAGCATTCCGAAAGAAATACAGGTATACATAAGGGTTGTGAGAATATGGAGTTTCTTAGTAAATGTCTAACTATTACTAAATAATTACTTCTGAATTCATAAAACTTACTTTATGTTAATAAATTCTACTGTTCAGAGCAGAATGTATAATATTTGTTTGCAAAAGTACCATGATTAAACATGTAATTTTTAAATTACAACAAAGACTTAAAGAACATAATGATGTAATTGACACACAGTACAGTTGTAAAATGTGCTAGAACACACTGGTCTAGGTTTTAAAAACTAGAATAAGTAGAAATATACTAGATTTCTGATGCAGTAAAGATATTCATGTTAAACTGGTCCTATTAATTCTGTTCTGATGTACATAACTATAGAAGTATACAACAACAGTACAGATATTCATGATGAACTGGTCCTATTAATTCTGTTCTAATGTAAATAACTATGGAAGTCTACAACAACAGTACAGATATTCATGTTAAACTGGTCCTATTAATTCTGTTCTGATGTACATAACTATGGAAGTATACAACAACAGTACAGATATTTATGTTGAACTGGTCCTATTAATTCTGTTCTAATGTACATAACTATGAAAGTCTACAAAAACAATACAGATATTCATGTTGAACTGGTCCTATTAATTCTGTTCTAATGGACATAACTATGGAAGTCTACAACAACAGTTTTTTTAAAGCATTTGTCTGTTGAATACATGTTTAAAAAATGAGATTCCCATTTAATTATTAATATATATGCTGTTGGCTATTTATGAGTGAACTTTATCATAGTTAATATTATTTAAAGTTTTGATTGTGGCTATGTTGTGTCAGAACAAGTGAAACCAGCAATGTTAATGTAGTATTTGTTACAAAAGCAACAGTGAAACTTAACATATACTTGAAATTCATATAAACCCTACATCCAAGAAGAAGCTTTAACCACAAACAATAGAACTTAACAAATGTAGTCTCTACATCCAAGAAGAAGCTTCAACCACAAACAATAGGACTTAACAAATGTAGTCTCTACATCCAAGAAGAAGCTTTAACCACAAACAATTTTGTTAAGTTCTATTGTTTGTGGTTGAAGCTTCTTCTTGGATGTAGAGACTACATTTGTTAAGTTCTATTGTTTGTGTTAAAGCTTCTTCTTGGATGTAGAGACTACATTTGTTAAGTCCTATTGTTTGTGGTTGAAGCTTCTTCTTGGATGTAGAGACTACATTTGTTAAGTTCTATTGTTTGTGGTTGAAGCTTCTTCTTGGATGTAGAGACTACATTTGTTAAGTTCTATTGTTTGTGGTTAAAGCTTCTTCTTGGATGTAGAGACTACATTTGTTAAGTTCTTGTAGTCTCTACATCCAAGAAGAAGCTTCAACCACAAACAATAGAACTTAACAAATGTAGTCTCTACATCCAAGAAGAAGCTTCAACCACAAACAATAAGACTTAACAAATGTAGTCTCTACATCCAAGAAGAAGCTTCAACCACAAACAATAGGACTTAACAAATGTAGTCTCTACATCCAAGAAGAAGCTTCAACCACAAACAATAAAACTTAACAAATGTAGTCTCTACATCCAAGAAGAAGCTTCAACCACAAACACATAAACAATAGGACTTAACAAATGTAGTGTCTACATCGAACCCATTTTAACAAATTTAGATGTAAAACTTGAAGGAAATCATGACTAGTAGATGTCATTTACAGGTTTAATTTGTGGCTTGCAACTTGATATATATTATGTAACTGTTAAAAATATCGAGAAACTGTGGTAGTCTTATCTAGTTTATTAACATTATCTTACCTATGCTATAAGTAATGTTTTATATAGTCACAATGAATTAGATGGAGGTTGCGTGACAGAAGTTAGGGCTATAATATACTGTCAGCACTTCCAAAGATTAAATCTACTTCATGCAACTGTAAATAATTGTATATTTTCATTTGCCAGATGAAGTTTTCTTCTTTCCATATTTAATTGATTATTTTTCCTATCAGAAATGTTGCTTTTTTTACATATTTAACTTTTAGGTTCTGGTTTTGTTTTTCAGCTTCACATTTTCTGTCAAGTATAATTGCAATTTTAAGTACAACGAATAGTATATGTGAGGTACTTTTTACATGTTTTATGCATACTAGTTAATCTTGAACTTAACTGGCATCTAAACAATAAGTGCAGTTACTTTCTTGACACAGAATTAGTAGACATAAAAACTTAAAAAAGAAACACGTTTTGGTGAAGCAAAAAACATGATGGAAGCGAAGATGGATGTTGTTGAACTGCCCTAAATAAAACACCGAAATATTTACAAGTACTTGGTTTTTAATATAGGTGACTACATAAATAAATCTGTCATTTTATAAACTTAAGTGAAAGAAATATTATTTAAATTGTTAATAGTAGCAATAAAATAACTACAATATTGAACTGAACTGATTTTTTCCGAAACCGCCCCCCAGTGGCACAGCGGTATGTCTGTGGACTTACAACGCTAGAATCCGGGTTTCGATACCCGTTGTGGGCAGAGCGCAGATAGCCTATTGTGTAGCTTTGTGCTTAATTATAAGTAAACTGTCCGAAAGCTGGGCCAAGAAAATAGGATGCGCATGGAAAGCTTATTTTTGAACTTGAAGTGTAATCGGGTCTTGCATTAAATTTAAATTTTATTTGTGAAGAGGATATTATTTCTCAGAATATCTGGGGCCTCTTTGGTTGAAATTAATAAAGAACAAGTTAGTGTTTCAAAAAAATGACAAAAAAGAATGTCTGTTGATTTATCTCATAAATATAATATTACAAAAGGTTAATGGCTTCAAGGAAAAAAAACTACTAAAGTAATCAATGTACTCATAGCTTTAAGTAATACTTTTATTTAATGATTCGATCAAAGTAGTGTTGTTAACTACAAGTTTTACTGTTCAAACTACTTGTAACTTTCAACAACTGGTGGCTGGTGTGATTGTAATAATAATCTATATATTGTACGTAGAAAGAAAAAAAATGTTGATAATTAACTCCTCTTTCTGAAAATTAGTTTTCTTAATTTTTGTTACTTCACCTGCTATGAAGGCATATAAAGTTTTATTTTTTTAATTAGGCTTTATAGTTGCCATCAGTCTCGTATGTAGATTTATCCCATTCCTTATTGTTATTAGATCAGAAAACTTTGATGTACATTAACTTAAACTTATGTAATATTTAATAATAGTACAGCGCCCACTTGGGTAGGCCGCCTTAATTATGTGTGGTTTAACTGTTTGCCGCTGTTTATAGTATTTGATTAATCCATCCATAGGCTTGTTGAAAGCGAGGCTACTTGAGAGCTGTAAATTACTTATTTTTGTTAGCTTTTCTGGAGATATATCGTTTAAACTTAATTATTTTAAGGTTTCAGTGGGTTGAAGGGTCCTCAAGTATTGGAAGTATCATATCGAAGTTAACCTTTAAATTGTTTATTTTGTGAAGTCATGATTTGTGTTATTTATATAAATAGTATTAGGCTGATATTTAGCAATTATATTAATTTGTCCATTACTGAAATTAATATATATCAACAGGTGTCGTTTTATATCGTTAGAATGTGACAAAAGAATATTCTTTTTCTATCCAAACCAGAATTAATAATGTTTGGTTGATTCACTTCAACATGTGTGCTTAAGTTAGAACGGAAAAGTATAAAATTTTCTAACACCGAGTATAGTAACTTCCGCTATCTACGATATAATATTTTATTTTCTTAGTTTGTAAATCAAAGCTGTTAACTGAAAAGAAAACTGCACTCGTTGAACCGCGTGTTGCGTCTATCCCGAAAATAAAAATTGAAATTAATTATTTCGCTATCATAGTTTTTATGACATATTATTCACGTTTTTATTACAGCTTTGACGATAGA